CCTTCCTTCCTTCCTTCCTTCCTTCCTTCCAGTATATTTGGTACAGGGTCTCATTATGCAGCTCAAACTTGTAGTGATCCTCTTGTCTTCAGCATCCCCAGCACTGGGATTACAGGAGTGCGCCACCACACCCAGCCTTGGTAGTCAGCTCAGTGTGCCTGTGGGCAGGGCTGGAGTGGAATGTGGCACTGGGGATTGAACCCTGGTCCTTGTGCTTGCCTAAGCAGGTGCTCCTTTATTTTGTCTAATAAATCACACCTGGCACCTTCCCCACTGCTGTTCATGGGCCTCATTCTTTGCTTTCTGCAGAATAAGGACCCAGAAGGAGGAGTAAATTGATTACAATCTTGAGTCCTCAAAGTCTTAACTATTCCAGCATTGCTAAAAGTCCAAGTCCAAAGTCTCCTCCAAGACCCAAGGAAGCTTAACTGTGAGTCTATACAAACAACAACAACAACAACAACAACAACAACAACAATGCAACAATCACATCCTTTCAAGATAGAATTGGATAGACACAAGATAAACATCCTATTTCAAAAATGAGGAAGAAGAAAATGGGGATCAGTACAAAACATGCCCCAAATCTATCAGGGCAAATACTAGACCCCAAAGTTCCAGGCACAACATTCAGGGTACGCCATGGCATGGGGCAGGCTCCCAAAGGTTTGGCAGCCCTGCCCACATGGCTTTGCGCCTTGCAACCCACAACCCACATGACCTTTCTTTTTGGCAGCTTTTCTCCATGCTGTTTGTGGCTTCCCTTGGCAGGTGTTGCATGGTGCTAACTCTTCATAACTTCCTGGAGTCTCCAATGCACTGTGTGTCTTTGTCCTCACAGCTCCTTGCATTGCCCTGTTGGGCTTGCTTACAGGGATCATGACACTGTGGCAGACTGTCTAATCCCAAACTTTCCTTTTAAAATTGGTGGAAATTATCATCACCCCATAACTCTTGCATCCTTCATGCCTGCAAAACCAACATCACAGGTATAAAGCTGAGTTTATTACCTGAGCCCCCTTGAACATAGAGTATAGTGCCTCTGTATGCCTTGCTGACTGAACAAGAAAAAACAAATCTCACACAGGGAAACCCAAGCCTTTTTGTTGAAATAATTCTACCATGAAGTCTGAGAAAACAATTTGTATTTCTCTGAGCTTATGATGCATGTGGGAGATTCCCAGGATGCCCCTGAGGCCTCTGTTCTGTTGTCCTGGCACAAGGTCGTTGGCTGCTCTTTATTAGGGGCAGTAACTCTCATTCCTTGCTTTACTGCTTTGAAATTTAATCTGCCAAGTTAAGTACTCCATCACCTCCACTAGCACCACACTTGGACCAAGCCTTTAACATGTAGGTCTGTGGGAGCCATTAAACATCCAAACAATGACCACAGATTGTAGACCTTCCTTTATTTAAGGGTTGTATTATGTTATATATATTCCAATATTTCTGTATCCCCACTGACACTTGTCTTTTTTATGATAACTGTTCTGATAGACATAAGGTGATAGTGCATCATGATTTTGGACTTGCATTTTTCTAATGTAAAACAATTTTTTTCATATGCTTTTTGGTCATTTGTGTCTCATCTTTGGGAAGATATCTACTCAGGTCCTTAACTTACTTTTAAATCAGGTTATTAATTTTGAACAACTGAA